AAGTGGTGGTTTTTTGTGTTCTCGTCGCTCGCTCGCGTATGGTGCGTGAGAAGAAAGAAAGAATGGATGAACGAGTGCTTGCTTGCTTGCTTGTAAGAGTCAGTGTTACAATCAAGTTGGTGTTGTGTGAATTTCTTGTTTGTGAATGTCAACAAGGTTGTTTACGATCTTGTGCATCACTGTAAGTTTGTGGGGCTGCTGTATGGCTGTTTTCGCGTCTCGAATAGGTCCATCCATCCATCGAACCATCAATTCATTCATGTTTTTTGTTTGTTTGTTTATCTGTTTTTGTAGGTGGGCAATGTAATAGCATATGTGTCTGTGTACCTATGTATGTGCGCATCTATGTATCTGCGCATCTATGCATGTGTGTATCTAGGCACCAGTCTATCTATGTATCTGCGCATCTATGCATGTGTGTATCTATGCACCAGTCTATCTATGTATCTGCGCATCTATGCATGTGTGTATCTATGCACCAGTCTATCTATGTATCTGCGCATCTATGCATGTGTGTATCTAGGCACCAGTCTATCTATGTATCTGCGCATCTATGCATGTGTGTATCTATTGTATGTGTACTAAATGTATTGCGTATCTATGTACTGTGTTCTATTATGCGTTTATCTATCATCGGTGTATGATGTATTTGGCGTATCTCTGTAGCTGTGTTTTCTAATTATGGGTATGCGTGTATCTAATGCAATCTGTGTTATGAGGCGATGTTAATTATTCGTTATCTAGTAGCTGTGTTTCTATTCTGGTGCGTGTATCTATGCATCTGTGGTATCTCTGTATGTGCGTATATCTATGTAGCTAATGTTTCTATTATCTGTGGTTTCGTGATGTATGTGTGTATCTATGCATGTGCGTACTATGTAGATGCGTAATCTATGTAGCTGCGTACATGTACTATGTTTCCTAGTAGTCTTTGTTTCTATGTAACTGTGTTTCTATGTATGCGGTGTATCATGCATCTGTTGTATCCTGTATTCGTATCTATCGTATCTATTTTCTATGGAGCTGTGTTTCGAGCATGGATAACGCATACATAGAAAACACAGCTACATAGAAACCAGCTACTTAGAAACATAGCTACATGGATACGCAGCTACTAGTACCACTACATAGATAACGCCACATGCATAGATTACACACATACATCGAACACAGCTTATAGAACAATAGCTACATAGATACGCACATACATAGATACACAGATTGCTGGATAACCTCATACTAGAAACACAGCTACATAGAAACCAAGCTACTTATAAACATAGCTACATAGATCGCAGCTACATAGATACGCAGCTACATAGATACGCACATTCATAGATACCCACTACATCGACACACAGCTACACTAGAAACCGTAGCTACCTAGATACCACTACATAGAAAATACACCGATGCATAGATACACGCTAATAGAAACACAGCTACATCAGAGTACTCACATACTAGATACAACAGATGCTTAGATACACGCATAATCAAACACAGCTACTAGATCTGCACATACTAGATTACCCGATGCATAGAATACACGCATAATAGAAACACCTGCACCTAGATACGCACATACATAGATACACATACATAGATACACAGATGCATAGATACACCCATAATAGTAGACTGTGCATAGATACAAACATGCAGAGATGCGCAATAAATAATATGACTGGTGCATAGATACAACATGCATAGATGCGCAGATACATAGATGACTGGTGCATAGATACCCCACATGCATAGATGCGCAGATACATAGATAGACTGGTGCCTAGATACACACATGCATAGAGGCGCAGATACATAGATGCGCACATACATAGGTACACAGACACATATGCTATTACATTGCCCACCTACAAAAACAGATAAACAAACAAACAAAAAACATGAATGAATTGATGGTTCGATGGATGGATGGACCTATTCGAGACGCGAAAACAGCCATACAGCCCCACAAACTTACAGTGATGCACAAGATCGTAAACAACCTTGTTGACATTCACAAACAGAAATTCACACAACACCAACTTGATTGTAACACTGACTCTTACAAGCAAGCAAGCAAGCACTCGTTCATCCATTCTTTCTTTCTTCTCACGCACCATACGCGAGCGAGCGACGAGAACACAAAAAAACCACCACTTGGACCTTGACCCTTTCCCACAAACAAACAAACAAACAACAATGCACTTGTTATAATATACACATTCCTACACTCAAACACATATTCACACATGCACTTGGTCAATCACACAATCCTACCTAGACTCAAACACACGCTGTTACAATTCGACTTGGATTCACTAACAAGATCATATCAGTAGTTATAATACATACATACATACATTTGATTGTTTGCTGAGAATGTCATTATACCCTACTGCTTTAGGTAAGCAACAACATACACTGACACTAATGTATATCTATACATGAATGTGTATGATACATACGCATAGCGGGAACAGTCAAGGCCTTTAACAAAAGTCCACAGATCGGTCCTTATGTACGTGTTGTCGAGCCAGTATTCACTCTCAAACTGTTCTATAACCTGTGATGGCCCCCCTTTCGTGAGACGCCCTTCCTTCATTTATACGTCAACACTAGCGACAAGGCCTAATTCAGCACATACAAACAAACACATGGAGTAACACGGCCATGGCATTATCCTTATCGCAACCCATGAGGAAACCTAGAGTCCTAGAGGGGATGATGATATACGCGTGATGCTGATGCCAGCGGTTACGCCATGCCGATGTTGATAACAGCGGCTACACACACACACACACACACACACACACACACACACACTCAATCAGTCATCCACACTCAGGCAGTCACACACACACACAGTCATTCACACACACACACAATCATTCACACACACACACACAATCATTCACACATATTCATTCACACACACACAATCAATCACACACACACAATCATTCACACATATTCATTCACACACACACACACAATCATTCACGCATATTCACTCACACACATATTCATTCACACACACACACACACAATCATTCACACACACATATTCACTCACACACATATTCACTCACACACATATTCACTCAACACCCATCTTCACTCCCACCCATATTCCCTCCCTACACACCGTCTTCATATCCCACCCCCAATCAATCCCCCACCGACTCATTCACTCCATTCACACTCAGTCACCACTCAATAATTCACACACACAATCAGTCAATCATTCACTCAATCACTCAGTCAGTGCACACACATTCCTCATTCTCACACACACCCACACTAGTCAGTCAGTCAGTCACACATCACTCACCTCCCTCCTCTCGACTCTGCACACACACATTCTAGTCACACACTCCTTCATTCACACCCACACCCCCTCATTCACACACTCACTCATCACTCAGTCCAGTCACACATCCCACATCATCACACCTCCAGTCAGTCCCACCCATCCCCCCACACACATCCGTCAGTCACAACACACACGTCATTCACCCACACACACAGTCAGTCACACACACAGTCATTCACCCACCAGTCATTCACACCACACACACTCATTCACACACTCACTCAATCACTCAGTCAGTCACACTCCCCCCACATTCACACACTCATCAGTACACACATCCCAACCCATTCACACCAGTCCTTCATTCCCCCCCACATTCCTTCCCACACACCTTCCTTCCCACACACACCCATCTCGCGTAGAATCATTGGTCCCTCCCCCCGTCGGCCCGGTCACCTCTACCACTCTTCCCCCAGCCGGCCCACGCCTACTCCAAGCTCAGGTAGGTGCCCCGCCCCCACCTCCTCATCCTTGCCCCCCCCCCCCCATCTCCTCCTTCCCCCCCCACAGAAATAGAATCATTCACACACACACAAATAGAATCATTCACACACACAGATACAATCATTCACACACACAGATACAATCATTCACACACACAACAAATACAATCATTCACACACACAGATACAATCATTCACACACACAGATACAATCATTCACACACACACACACAGATACAATCATTCACACACACACATATAGAATCATTCACACACACACAAATAGAATCATTCACACACACAGATACAATCATTCACACACACACAAATAGATTCATTCACACACACAGATACAATCATTCACACACACACACAGATACAATCATTCACACACACACATATAGAATCATTCACACACACACATATAGAATCATTCACACACACACACACACACACAATCTATCACTCAGTCACACTCAAACACATTCACACACTCGCATGCTCAAACACATTCAAAACATCACAAAACCAACAACTAACTAATTCATTCATTCATTCATTCGTCAATCACACGTAGTACCCACAAAACACCACCGACACAGAACCAACTACATACAATATCAAAAGCTAAAACAGCCAGGGGGGAGGGGAGGAGGAGGGCAGAGGAGGAAGGAGGGAGGAGGGAGGGGAGGGGGAGGGGGGGGGGACACGACAAAAAAAAAGAAGCAGTATTCATTCAAAACAAATATAACCCACCATCTCAAAATACAACAAGGGAAAACAACCATCTAAAAAAAAAAAAAAAAAAAAAAAAAAAAAAAAAAAAAATCAAATCAAATCCAATCCATTTCATTTCTATTTACTTTACTTTGCTCTTGTCTTGGGGAGACCTAGATGCCCGAGCCTCGGACAAAAACACACAAAAATGGACTCTATGCACATTGCCGCACACAAATATAGGCCTTAACCACAGTATAAACAAGCAGACACTACCGAACTGCTTACCCGCTCGTTTGCAAGACTAGTTTTGACGGAAGACAGCTCAAAGTATCACGAACATAAAACATGTTGAATTACTGTGGCCAAACCAATTCCAAAGATGTGTCAATGAATAAGACAAATATTTGTTTACTAGATCAATGAACTTAATGATATCACAACAAGCAAACTAGATTAAGTGTCGATAAAGGAAAGTCCCGTCCTCGTGAACGCTCAAATAACGGGGATATAGAAATATTTTCAATCGATTGATTAGCTTTCGTTTTCCTTATTATTTCTTGAATTTGACGTGATTTCATGAGTTTTACAATAGTTCCTTTAAGAAAAGTTTAATTATTTTTTTAATTCAAGTTAATAATCATTTTACTAGTTTCCCTGTTATTTTCATGTTAAATTTTAGATTTTAGCGTTTGTTTTATCAATATGTTTGCTAGGTCAACATAACGCGCTCTCCTCACATGTTCCTATAAACTCACAACCAACCAGTATCTGCCTTCCCGTTTCTCTGTTTCGTGTACTGAATGTAATAGATGATGATAATAATAATAATGATAATAATAATAATAATCATAATAACAATACTAATGATAATAATGATAATAATAATAATAATGATAATAATAATAATAATAATAATAAAAACGGAATTAGTTATAATGATAATATAATAATAATAATAATGATAATAATAATGATAATGATAATGATAATAATAATAATAACAATAATAATAATAATAATGATAATAATAATAATAATAATAATAATAATAATAATAATAATAATATAATAATATAATATATTAATAAGCTAACGCGTGTGTATATCCATACATATGTGTAGGATGTATTTATATATGTCTGTATATATATAATATATATATATATATATATAGATATATATCTATTTATATGGCTGTAGTATATATATTTTTATATCTATTTATATGTATGTAGATATATATATATTTATATGTCTGTCTTAATCTATATTATTTATATGTTGTATATAGATCTATCTATTTATATGTATGTATACTAATCTATTTATATGTCTGTAAGACATATATCTATTATATGTCTGTATATGTATTCATATACGTCTGTAGCACGAATGTATTTATGTATGTATGAATATGTATTACATATATGTCTGTAGTATATATCTATTTATATGTCTGTATATATATATCTTTTAATGTCTGTATATTATATATCTATTTATATGTCTGTATATATATATATCTATTTATATTTCTGTATATGATTCATATACGTCTGTATGTCCACGATTGTATGTATGTATGTATGAATATGTATTTACATAAGGTTTTAATGTAGTTATATATGTACTTATAGATGTGTATATTATATATATTATATATCTGATATATATATATAATCTGTATATATATAGTATGTATACATATTTATACAATGGTATAACGTATACATGTAATATATACATATATGTATGTACATATATGGAGTCTATAGATATATGCTTCTATATTTCATGTATGTGTACAGAAACCGATAAATACCAACTCGATGTGTAAATGATATTTGGATGTCTAAGTGTATACATTGCCTTATGTAGCCAGCCTCATTTAATAACTAATTTATCAACCAAATGTGTGGTTATAGTATGATATATGAAAATAAGTGATAATACCTTAGAATAAACATTCAATTATACTAGTAATATGATAAACAAATAAAATAATGCGTCATACGTATAGTGTACAATTACATATATGTAGTCATATGGGTCTGTATATATGCTTTATATGATATATGTAAAATCAGGATAGTACCTAAAAAATAACCCATCATATAATGTGATACTGATTAGAAAAACTAAGGAAAAACGAAAAGCTAATCAATCGATTGAAAATATTTTCTATATCCCCGTATTTGAGGTTCACGAGGACGGGACTTTCCTTGATCGACTAATCTAGTTGCTTTGTTGTGATACTCATTAAGTTCATTGATCTAGTAAACAAATATTTTGTCTTATCATTGAACACATCTTTGGAATGGTTTGCCACAGTATTCACAGTTTTATGTTCGTGATACTTTTGAGCTGTCTTCCGTCAAAACTAGTCTTGCAAACGAGCGGGTAAGCAGTTCGGTAGTGTCTGCTTGTTTATACTGTGGTTAAGGCCTATATTTGTGTGCGGCAATGTGCATAGAGTCCATTTTTGTGTGTTTTTGTCCGAGGCTCGGGCATCTAGGTCTCCCCAAGACAAGAGCAAAGTAAGTAAATAGAAATGAAATGGATTGGATTTGATTTGATTTTTTTTTTTTTTTTTTTTTTTTTTTTTTTTTTTTTTTTTAGATGGTTGTTTTCCCTTGTTGTATTTTTGAGGAGATGTGGGTCTATATTTGTTTTTGAAGAAACTGCTTTGTGTTTTGCTCGTTTGTTCCCCCCCCTCCCCTCCCCCTCCCCTCCCTCCTCCTCCTTCTCCTCTGCCCTACCCCTCCCCACCTCCCATCTGGCTTGTTTTAGCTTTTGGATATTGTATGTAGTTGGTTTCTGTGTCGGTGGGTTGGTGTTGTGTGGGGTTACTACGTGGTGATTGACGAAGAAATGAATGAATGCATTAGTTAGTTGTGGTTTGTGATGTTTTGAATGTGTTTGAGCATGCGAGGGTGTGAATGTGTTGAGTGTGAATGAGTGATAGATTGTGTGGTGAAATGATTTGTGTGTGGTGAGTGTGAATGATGTGTGTGAATGCTTCTATATGGGTGTGGGTGAATGATTCTATATGTGTGTGTGTGATGATTGTATCTTTGTGTGTGTGAATGATTGTACTCTGTTTGGGGTGTGAAATGACTGTGTGTGTGGACTGGGACTGAGGTGTGACTGGTGGGATCGTGTGACGACTGATGTGTGAAGTGTGGATGGTGACTGACTGAGTGAATGACTGTGTGTGTGAATGAATGCGGGTGTGGAGTAGGGAATGGGGGGGTGGTCGTGAGGGAATGAGGGTGTGTTGGGGGGACCTCGAAACCGAACTCCCTCCTTCTGACTGTGAGTGTGTGTGTGTGTGAGAATGAGTGAATGTGTGTGTGACTGACTGAGTGATTGAGTGAATGATTGAATGATTGTGTGTGTGAATTATAGTGTGTGACTGAGTGTGAATGAGTGACTGAGTGTGTGTGTGATTGATTGTTGTGTGTGAGTGAATATGTGTGTGAATGAATATGTGTGTGAGTGAATATGCGTGAATGATTGTGTGTGTGTGTGTGAATGAATATGTGTGAATGATTGTGTGTGTGTGATTGATTGTGTGTGTGTGAATGAATATGTGTGAATGATTGTGTGTGTGTGTGTGAATGATTGTGTGTGTGTGTGAATGACTGTGTGTGTGTGTGACTGCCTGAGTGTGGATGACTGATTGAGTGTGTGTGTGTGTGTGTGTGTGTGTGTGTGTGTGTGTAGCCGCTGTTATCAACATCGGCATGGCGTAACCGCTGGCATCAGCATCACGCGTATATCATCATCCCCTCTAGGACTCTAGGTTTCCTCATGGGTTGCGATAAGGATAATGCCATGGCCGTGTTACTCCATGTGTTTGTTTGTATGTGCTGAATTAGGCCTTGTCGCTAGTGTTGACGTATAATGAAGGAAGGGCGTCTCACGAAAGGGGGGCCATCACAGGTTATAGAACAGTTTGAGAGTGAATACTGGCTCGACAACACGTACATAAGGACCGATCTGTGGACTTTTGTTAAAGGCCTTGACTGTTCCCGCTATGCGTATGTATCATACACATTCATGTATAGATATACATTAGTGTCAGTGTATGTTGTTGCTTACCTAAAGCAGTAGGGTATAATGACATTCTCAGCAAACAATCAAATGTATGTATGTATGTATTATAACTACTGATATGATCTTGTTAGTGAATCCAAGTCGAATTGTAACAGCGTGTGTTTGAGTCTAGGTAGGATTGTGTGATTGACCAAGTGCATGTGTGAATATGTGTTTGAGTGTAGGAATGTGTATATTATAACAAGTGCATTGTTGTTTGTTTGTTTGTTTGTGGGAAAGGGTCAAGGTCCAAGTGGTGGTTTTTTGTGTTCTCGTCGCTCGCTCGCGTATGGTGCGTGAGAAGAAAGAAAGAATGGATGAACGAGTGCTTGCTTGCTTGCTTGTAAGAGTCAGTGTTACAATCAAGTTGGTGTTGTGTGAATTTCTTGTTTGTGAATGTCAACAAGGTTGTTTACGATCTTGTGCATCACTGTAAGTTTGTGGGGCTGTATGGCTGTTTCGCG